TAGACATGCTATCCAGATTAAAGCAAACAAAATCAAGAAATACAAGCCAGCAAAAAATCCTAGCAAACAAAAGAAAGAAAAGGATCTATCAATTCTGCCGTAGCAAACAAGATGTTTGCTCCTGTGGCAGCAGGAAAATTTTATGCGCAGGTCTCTTTTAGTGACCTGGTGGACTTGATCATGATAAAAGATCCAGGAATAGGGCATAACATCATACCCATCAAAAGCCAGCAACAATAAAAACGCAATCAAGAATAAAAGCACTAGAAAAGCTGCAAGTTTCCCATAAAAATCACCGGATCTTCAAATAAGAATGAAAGCTTGCTAAAACAAAGACAAAGACGGGTTACCTTTATCCCAGCAAGGGCTTTGGACACAAAATAACGCCAAGGGAATCCTGGAAAATGGTGAAAATCTTTGGCCGCACTTGATGATCTTCCTCAAACTCACGGCCGAAGCTTTCTTTTTGGTTCAGATCTCCTTCCTCCTCTCCAGCTTTCTCTCTCGGTTTTTCTTCTTAGTTTCCTCACCCCCTCAGCCCTCAACCTCTGTCCCTTTTTGACGCCCCAAAAAAAATGAGTTTGAGAACCCGGAAATTTTCTAATTTTCTAGGTTTATTTTTTAACGCCCGCCTTTTCTACATTTTCTTGATTAGAAAAATTTCCAGATAAAGTTTATGAGCAAAAATAGTTTTAAAATGATTTTTCTAGTATCGGTAGTTTTTGAGAAATTAAAAGCGTATTTTGGACGTGGACCGCGCTAGTGCGGTAAATGCATTATATTTTTGACAACTTGTTGGAATTTGTATTAAGTGATATTATTTTACAAGGTGCTAAAAGATAATTAGAGGTTACTTAGATGGTTTAATCTTGGAGAGACAAAAGGATAAGATTAAAATCCAGAGGACCATTTGTCACCTAACTATTGGACCTTGACTTTGACTTGGACTTGTCTTAACCTTTACTAAACCAAATTTTGACCCAATTTCTTCCATTTTTATTGTCTTGGCCGAAATTTTGGTGAGAAAAGAACAAGAGAGATTTCTTCAACTTCAACTTCAATTCTTGCTCAAATCTTGAGTTCCAACCGATTAAATTGCAAATCACTCCATAAACATGCTAGCTAAGGAAGATTGGAGCTCTTGGTGGAGTTATTTGGAAGGTCAAGGTGCCTAGTTGTTCTCTCTCTTCTATTGTTAAGGTGAGTGGCGATTGAACTTCCTCCTACACTTAATGAAGCTTAAGTTATGCCTAGTGGAGCTAAAGTGCTGAAATTTGTGGTTTATTTCTTGGTTTGAGATGAATTGGTGAAATTTTTGATTTATTGATGATTTTTCTGGTTTAATTTGATCATGATGTTGTGGCTGTCCATGATGGTTGGAAATGATGTTTAATAACTCTAGTAGGTGTAAATGATTGGTAATTGCAACCAATTTTGGTTTTGGAAGCAATTTGAGAAAGTTAGGGTTTATATCCCCAATTCTGTCCGGTTTTTGTATCTCATGGTTAGAGGCCGAATTGGCCTTGGTTTAAAAATGAAAGTTGTAGTATTGATGTTTTAAAGGTTCCTGTAAAATTTCAGGTCAATTGGAGTAGTGTGGAGTGAGAAAAGTCGGAAATACTGAGACAGGTCTGGGAGGGGTGCTGCGAATAGGGTTGCCTTTTCACTCAATTTGACCGTGACTTTTCACCCTGATTCTCACCGAATTAGATTTTGGCCAAAACATGAAAGTTGTATCCAAGGCTATAAAATAGTTTCCTGTAAATTTTCAGCTTGATCCAACCACTGTAGCATGTGAAATGACCGAAATACCCTTGACTGTTTTTGAAACCTGTTTCGCGCCCGATTTTTGTTTTCGTGTAGTCTTCCATTTCGATCATGAAAATGCACGATTTGGCCTTTGAGGTCTTCTAATGAAATGTAGCTTGATGTAATTAGCTACATATACCTTTGGAATTTCTGGATTTGACTTGTAGAGCCTGAGTTATGATGTTTCCGCTAGAATGCGTTTTGGTGAATCTGTTTTACATTTTTGATGTGGTATCTTGCCTTTTTGACCTGTTTGCACTCGAAACTGGGTTGAGTGACCTTCTATAATATTGTAGCCCTGACTCTTAGCTTCGAAACGGTGGGTCTTTCACCTTCATCCGACAATCGTAGCGCCTTTGGTACCATTACCGCAAAATGACGTCAAACTATTTTCTGGTTTGAGCTTAACTTTCATTTCCGGACTTTTCCCTAGCTTGACTTGTGCTAGTACTACTTGGAGCTTGCTGAATGGCTATTGGATGAACTTATTTGTGTGACTTTGGAACTGGCTGAGGAAATAATGAAGCCATGATGGCTGGGAAAAAGCAAATTTAGGGGAAGTGCTGTCCGAAGTTTTAAAGGTTTGATTGCTTTGAGTTTGTGATCTAAGACTTGGATTTGAGCAAGGCAATGTTATATGATGGATGATTTCTGAGCCATGGAGGTGAGTGACCTCAAACTACTTCTAAAGTGATTATGAACCGTTTCTTACATTATTTACTTTTGAACTGTTTCCAAAGTTACTTTTGAAATGTTTTCTTGCATATCATGTGTGCTGGCATTTGAGTGTGCCTTGTTTGCTATATTTCTTGACTTCATGACTTGTATTTTGGTTGATAACGTGTTAAGCGCTTATAATGATTTCCAAAACGAGTTTTCGAGGCGAGTGTGTACTTTATCGCACTCGACCTCGATAAAGGTGAAAATTTGATTGAATGTTACTTGCGCATGAATTAAGCCTTTTGGGCTGAACTGGCCATTGCCCTTGTTACCGGTCGTCTTGAGCCAGAAGCGGACTCGGTCAGGCGATTAGGAACTTGGTGAACGTTTGGTATACTCGAGTATTACCTATGTAGGTTGGTGGAGCCTGGCCAAAAGCCAGGGACGGGGTGAATGAAATGAAATGAATGACCAAATGAGCGAGGAAATGTCAGGAGAATGAATGTATCCTTTCATGAATGTTACTATCGCTTTCCATTGTAAATGTTTCTTGAATTATTGATAATCCATATTTACTGTTTTGCAAATGATGTAGTTGTTTCCGGATTTATCATTTAATTTATGACATCATTGCTATATGACATCATTGAAATGAACTATTGTGAAACCGAGTTGATTAATGATTTTCTGGTTACTCGCTGAGCTTTTAGCTCACCCCAAAACTATTTTATCCCCTCACAGGGCTCGTGGCGAAGGAAGGACTTGTAGTACTTGTGCACGTGTATGGATGGCCTAAACTTTGTACAATTTTAGATTTGGAATTATTTTATGTATATTTGGGATTAGTTTCCGCTGCATTTGTGACATGTAATTATTGGAGACGGATGTGTATTTGTGACCATTTGATGTATACTTGAGATTTGTATTGTATTTATTTGATGACTGTAGTGAACGACTGAGTCCCGGCGAGAGTTGGGCGGGCGGCCCGCCGAACCCTAGGGTACGCCCTAGGGAGAGGTGGGGCCGTCACACCTTTGATTTCAAATCTTCCAGCCGTCCCTCGGTGATCCTCTCACGGTCTCACTCAGCCGTCATTCCCCAAAAACCTCTTCTAGCTCTCGCTGTTTCTTTCCTTTTATATGGGGGAACCACAACCCTAAACCTTCAGCCATCTTTTCTAAAATTGCAGCCAAAGGGCTGCCCGAGTCATTCCTTGCAAGCTACGAAAATACGCAGCTTGAATGCCGCGGGACTCTTTTTTTTTTTTTTTGGTGACAAGTAATTTAAAAAAAGATAATAAAATTAAGTAAAACAAAAACAACAATTTTAAGTAACATCGGACAAAAATAAACAACTAGAAACAACAAAGTTGCGATTTTTCATTTTCTTTTCTTTCTTCATTTTTTCATTTTCATCGTTTTTTTCCCTTTTTTTCCTTTTTTTTCAAATGAGCCAAAAAATAAAAAAAAAAAAAAAGTAAAATTGACTAAAATAGAAAATAAAACAAAAATGCTAATCTTAGTAATAATTCTTTTTTGATTGATGATTTTCTCTCTTTTTTTTCTTTTTTAATTAATTAAATTAGTGGATAAAATAAATGCTCATAAACTAATTAAAATACAATAGGAGACACGAAATAGGAAACAACCAAAATAAACCTAAAAATTGAAACAAATAAATCTAACATTAAACTAATAAAATAAATAAAATTCGAAACAAAAAATTTGGTGTCTACAGAGTCAATAATCGATTCAAGAATACAATAAAATTGAAAATTAGAGACTTGTAGGATGGACTTAAGATAGGTATTTTATGTTTAAATACTCAAGTGATAGTTATTAGTACTATCGTTATAAGAAATTCTTGGAGGTTTCGCTTTATCGCGCTTAATTTGGAGATACGCGTTTTTACACGCGCGATTTAATTAAGGGACTTTAGACCCTTATTTTGGGACAATTAAGAGTGAATAATATTAATATGAATATTTTTTTTTTGGCAAAACCCCGTACACGGGGAGGGGATGCCAGCCCCTAAATATTATTGAAAACGACAACTTAAACAAAGAAGGGAGACGCCTCCCCAATGTAAAGACTAGGCATACATAACCTAAACCCCTTCGCTAATCCAACGAACCCCAGGCACACTCCGTGAGTCTAGCACAACCGAGGCCCGGACAATTGCCGGAAACTCCTGGAACTGGTCATATTCCGTGACTCCTATTGCTCCCATATCCGCTAGCCTGTCTGCCGCCGAGTTGGCCTCACGGAACACATGCGCGATAGTGGCTGAAAAACCCTCTAGAAGGCTCCTAATTTTCCTCAAGCAATTACATAAAGGCCACTTAGCAAGTACCCCAGAGACAACCAACTGCACCAAGGCTTTAGAATCCACTTCTACCAACGAAGGGCGAAGCCCCCGTTGTGAACACAACTGCAAACCAAACAGTAAAGACAGACCTTCTGCCTCCAACACATTGTAGTCCCCGAATTCCTTGTAAAAAGCAAAAATCATTTTTCCCTGATAATCCCGGACTAGCCCCCACCCGTGGCCCTGCCATGCTTCACACTGGCGTCCGAGTTCAATTTAAGCAAACCAAAAGGCGGCTTTTCCCACATAACCGCCCGAGGGATCCTCCGCCGCGGCGGCGTGGTAACCAAACGAAGTAAGTCACAATCGACATCTCCGTTGAAGTGCGACCGACGAAACAAATTAGCCTTCCCAAGCCCCTCCAAGAAATGGTCTACCTCGCAAATGACCCTGTCACTCCCCAATGGAAGCCGCGGAAACGCTCCTGGTTCCTGGCAGACCAAAGAAACCAGCACACTACAACTGGCATAAACGTCCGAATATGGTCCTTCGAAGGAATTGCTGCCGTCCAATACCACGCTTTAAAAACTGATGCCATGCCCAAGCAATTGGATAATCGAAAACCAAAACGGGCAGACATCCTCCGCCACACCTCGGAGGCCACCGGGCCCTTAAAGAAGACATGCAAAAGGTCTTCCTCCTCCAGATAACAGCACCACATCTAGAGGGACAAGACAGACCTCTCGACCGTAAAGTCACATCCAAAGGTAGGAAATTGCGCATCACTCTCCAAGCGAGAAACGACATTTTCATTGGCAACACCGAAGACCATAGCAGTGAGTCAACCAAGGAATACTGCCTCTTTGTCGGAGCACCTCCCATGCCGACTTAACCGAGAAGCAACCCGTCGGAGAAGGTAGCCAAACCATCCTATCTTTCTGAGATACGTCGAATGGCGTGTCCTTGATAGCCTGGATGACAAAACTCGGGACCCATTGGGCAAGACGCAATTCATCCCACCCATCCAACGTAATAAATTCGGAGACAAGGAAGTGAGGATGATCAGGCCGAACCACCACACTCTCCAAAGGCTCATGAAGGACCCAGCGATCTTTCAAAAAATCCACCAAACCATCCCCTAAACACCACCTAATGCTCGGCTCAACCATGGGACGTATCGCCTGAAGACGCCTCCAAATCGCCGAAGGTCGCACGGGTGCCGCGTCCGCTGGATGACAACCGTTGACATATTTGGCGTGCATGAATTCTGCCCAAACAGAAGTTCCCAGCCTGAACCGCCACCACAATTTAGCGGAGAAAGCTCGCGCCATGTCCCTGAAAGAGCGGAAACCCAGGCCCCCTTCGTCAACAGGAAAGCACAAATTATCCCAGGAGGACCAATGAATGCGCCTCTCCCCGTTCTGGTCCCATAGAAAGGAATTACAAAGTACGCCCAGCCTAGTGAGCACAGCCTTGGGAGGATCCAACACCTGAAGTAAATACATGGGCAGCGAAGCAAGGACATGCCGTGCTAATACAAGCTTACCCCAAAAGATAGCAATTTCGTGCTCCAATGTTCAAGACGACTCCTCATTTTGGAAACAATTCCATCAAACAAGATACCACAACGCCGGCCTTTATAAATAGGAGCCCCCAAATAGGTGAAAGGAAATGTCTGCCTGTTGAAACCCAGACCCCTATGTACCAACTGCTCCTAGCCCGGAGAAGCCCATGACGGCAAGAAAAAAGAACTCTTGGTGACATTTACTCTCTGTCCTAATGCTCTTCTGATAGTCCGAAAGAAAACCCTTGAGCGCAGACAAGCACTCCTCTGAACATCTTGTGAAAATGAGCATGTCATCGGCGAAGGCCAGGTAGGGGACTACTGTCCCTGCTGAAACAAACCGCCTGTGCGGCTGACTATCCAGGAGATGGTGCAGCCCACGGCCTAAAAACTCCGCAATTAACACAAAAAGGCCAGGAGAAACCGGGTCACCCTGCCTAACACCCCTCGTGGACTTAAAAATCCAGAAGGCTCTCCATTCACCAAGACAGAAAACCAATTATTAGTCACCAAGTGAAAATAATGTCTACCACATGTTCAGCAAATCCAAACTTCCGAAGCATAAACAAAAGAAAAGGCCATTCGACCCTGTCATACGCCTTTTCCATATCCAATTTTAGCATAAGATTTGGGTGCCTCAACCGCCTATCCAGATCCACCACCAACTCCTGAGTAAGAAGAATGTTGTCCGTTATCCCCCGACCTGGCACAAACCCTGTCTGCCACGGGATATTAAGGTAGGGAGAACCGTAGCCAACCTATCCGAGACGAGCTTGGAAATAATTTTCGAGCAGACGTTGCAAAGACTTATTGGCCGGAAATCTTTCCATTGCCCAGCACCCGCCACCTTAGGCAATAAAATGATGGAAGTGCTAGTAAAGCACCTAGGCAGCCGCATACCTTGGAAAAAGGCCTGTACCGCCTCCAATAAATCAGATTTAATAATATCCCAGCACACCTGGTAAAAACCTGCCCCAAACCCATCCGGACCGGAGCACTATCTGCATCCAAAGCAAAGACCACCCCCTTCAATTCTTCCATTCCAGGCAAGGCACCTAACCTGTCATTATCTGCCGACGTTAATTGAGGGAGCGAAAACGGAAGTGCTGGAGGGAGAAAATCGTGTTGCTCAGATGCGAACAAGGAGGAGAAGAACCCCACGGCTGACCGCCTAATATCATGTATATCCTCCAGCCATGCTCCAGATTGCTCTTTAATACGGCCACAAAATTATAACTTCGGCGTTGGCAACGAGAATGGAAGTATGCCGAATTAGCATCCCCAACCTGCAACCATTTGATGCCCGACTTTTGTCTCCAGTACTCACACTCCACTGCCAAGCTCCTTGCATAAGCCGCCTTTGCCTCCTCCAGTTCTGCTCTGGAAACTGAATCCCTCTCCTTGTCAAAATGTTCCTCCCTTTGTTTCATAACAGCCTCAGCCTCCTTCACTTTGTTAAAAACATTACCAAAGACCTGTACATTCCATGTTTGCAGACAGCCTTTTACCGCCCGCAATTTATTATGGAACTTCGGCATACCCAGCCCCTCCACGGGCATCGCCCAACCCTGGCGGACCACCTCCATAAAACCTGAATGCCTCTGCCATACATTTAAAAATTTAAAAGAACTTTTCCCTTTTCTCCATTGTTGGCAGTAATAACCAGCGGAGCATGATCCGAACGCCCTCTGGACAAATGAGACACATGGGAGAGATCGTACCCCTCAGCCCAATCCCGATTCATCAAAGCCCTATCCAATCTCTGCCACACCCTACCATTCGTCCATGTAAATAACGACCCATCAAAAGGAACCTCCGCTAAACCACAGGTGCCAATGGCAGCGTTAAATTCCTCAATGTTCCGTGCATTGGCTGGAGAACCACCCGCTCGTTCCTCCACAGTGGTAATGACATTGAAATCCCCTGCCAGTAACCAAGGCCCCCGCACGGAGCCCGCCAATTCTTCCATTGCTGCCCACAGGTCGCGTCGCCCCACCCTCGAGCACCGTGCATATACAGCCGAAAGCTGAATCGAGCAACCAGACGGAAAAGAAATGCCCATATGAAGGAGTTGCTCGGCCATCTCCCTGAAGCACAATGACAACTCATCGTACCAAAAAACCCATACCTTATTATTCAATGCTACCGACGCTCTGTCGAAACCTAGAAACCGGCGAACCACCTCCAGCTGCGGTGTATCCGACAATGGTTCTAGAAGAACTAGAATCCGTATTTTATTAGCTTTGCAAATCTTATGTAGATATCTGAGTGAATCTTTACGAGAAGCCCCACGTATGTTCCACACCACAATCTTAAAGGGATTTAACATGAGACCGCAACGAATAAGGATTTTGAGACAAGATATGAACCTGGTTGGACGAAGTTTTAGCCGGACGACCGCCCTTGTGCCTAGCCCCAAGCTGACCTTTACCCGCGGCTTCTTGCTGCTCCACCTGCGCCGCAGCACCCTGCACCCCGTCCAGCATCCCTCCCGTTGCCATCTGATCAGGCGACAACCGTTGATGCAACACCCTATGAAACTCCTTAAGGTGAGCCCATTGTGCCACTTCACCTGGTATATCCCCGTCCGAGTACTGCCTTCTGTGTTTCGGCCTAGTTGTTGGAGCATGAGCCTCAGACCTGGACGGGGTGCGCTCAAAATCCTGGAACTCCTTGTCTGCAAGTGCTTGCAATACAGCAAAAGTATTGGAGGATGGCACACACCTGGCCTCCTGCCCGCCTACTTCCCTTTCGCAATCATCAGTCCTCGAAACTAAAAGCTGGGGGGAATCAACCTCCAGCGCATCCATATCCGTCAAAGCCACAGCGGCTACACCCTCAAGCCCAGCCGCAGCTACCGAGTCTCCACCAAACTCCGCACCACCACGGAATTCCTCCAAAATTGTCTGATCACCAGCGGCTGCCTCAAGCTGGCTAACCCCGGGTCACAATGCTCCTCCGCGTGATTATGCGCCGCCTGACCCATATCAGCCTTAGGTACCTCCAGATCATGGGTATCCACCCCAGGTTCCATAATCGGAATATCCGGACATGCCCGCGCAGACGTAGCCTGACCAGCGGTTACCTTAGGTCTGTAAACCGCCACTGCCTTGTCAACCTTCTTGCCTAGAGGTTTGGTAGGAATAAGATCTGGGTTTTTCCTAAAACACTCCCCAACCTCATGACCAAAACGAGTGCAAAACCCACAAAATTTTGGCCAGTTCTCATACTCCACCGACTGCCAGAAACCCTCCTGATCCTCTCCAATCCAAATACGGTGTGGAGGAGACACCGAAACATCCATCTCAACGAGCACCCTCGCCACGGACGGGCGCTTCAACGCTAAAGTCGCAGAGTCAATCTTTAGAAATCTTCCCAGCAATCCCGCCAGTTTGGCAATGTACATCTTGTTAAACAAAGGCAACGGAAGTGACGGCAAGGACACCCACACAGGGGCGAACGTAGCATCCTGATGAGCTTTGAAATCCAGCGTCCACTTTGATACCATCATCTGCGCGCCCTTTACGACCCAGGAGCGGCGCAAGAAAAGTCTTGTAAAGTCCTCCTCAGACGACGGCCTGATGAGGACGTGATTAAGATCTAGCAGGCCAACATCACACGCCCCCTTCAGACCTAGCGAAACGAAAAAATGCCTAATGACTTCCATAGGTGGGCGGCGAAAGGGAAACCTGCCGACTAACGCATTCTGAAACGGTGCAGAGAGAAGCTGCAACTCCTTCTGAGATAGTAGCAACGCAGGTTCCCCTCTATGCGATGAGGAACACCCCAGATCCGGAATATTCGACTCTAACCGGCATGGGCCAGCGAGCACGTCTGCGAAGGACCTGGAGGAGGCCGCGGCACCCTCTGCAGCCGGTGGCGGCCACGGAGGACCCTCCATGCATCCGGGACAAAACCCTAACGCAAGTTACCAAAAAAGGAAATCAGACTAGAGAGAAAAAACGTGCATGTATCGTGTACTAGGATTAATTTGCTAAATGTTATATTAATATGAATATGAGTGCATTAAAGGTTTAGTGCACTAGTGAAATAAACTCGAGAGGAATCGAGCACAAAACGCGCGCGTACGCGCACTATTGGAGAGTTGACTTTTGTACACTTGAAACCCACAATTGTTAAGCTTCTCCCGGAAGCCTCACCATCAGAAAACACTCTCCATTTTTCACCTCAACAACACAACCGAACAGCAAGGGAAAGAAAGAACCAGCCTTGCTCCATCACCTTCTACTCCAAATTCTTACACCAAATCTCAATCAAATCAAACCAAAATTGAACTACACCTAGTTGAACACTTGGAGATTGTATTTAGCTAAAAAGGGGAGCTTTTCACGGTTCATTTTGAAGCAAGGAGGGGCTAAAAATTCTGTCTTGTTCACCAATACAAGTAAGTGACGATCAATCCTCAAATTCTTAGCCTATGGAAGTTGATTTACACTTATGAGTTTAGATATTCATGTGGGTGGCTTGTTATTATTGAAAAATGTTGAATGCGGGCTCTATGAACTTCCACTCTTGGATTGATGGCTGATGTGATGCTTGATCATAGATTTAATGTTGTTTTAGTGCTCAAATTGGTAGATTAATGGTGCATAGCTAGTATAAACTTCAAGGAGTGCACGGATGTAAAGTTTTCAATTCTACTCCTGTTATGATCGTGCCTCTTTTTGCTGAATTTTATGGTTTTAATGGCTTGTATATGATGTTTATAAGTTGTATAGATGGTGTATAAAGTTTCATCGAAAAATATTGAGGTTTGGTTGGTCAAATGGATTAATCTCGTACAGCTAGCAAACCTGAAAAATTTTCCCGTAATGCTCAGACAGCCTTCTTGTTTCGACCATAACTTTGTGCTCCGATGTCAAAATCAAGTGCCGTCAGTGGTATTTGAAACTAGATATTCCCAAATTTCCAACGGTATAAAATACAACCCCTAATTCCACCCGAATATTCCATACCAACCGTTTAAAAATGACTGTCCTGTTTCTCTATTTTCCCTGAACGAAGTTCAGAAGCCACAACTTGAGGCTTGAATTTGATATAGTTATGCGCTGAATTTCAAAACAATTTCTTCTGTGAAATTATAGTTTTATGAATTTATTTTCCAACACCATTAACCATGCTCAATTATGAGTTGAATTAAGTGATTTGTGATCAAAATACGAAACCTGCCCTGTTCTTGAAAACCCTAAATTTTGGACAGAATTGATGCTAGGTTTGGTGTGGACTTGCCAATTGAATTTCTTGGGGTTAAAACGCTTACCAAATGTACCATGAACATTCCTTAGGCTTTTCCTACACAAATGAACCATGTTTGAAGGATTTTCCTTGGCCAAATGTTTGGAATGGAAAATAAAAAGTTCAAGGCAGTTTTGCCTTAGGATTTTTTTGAAACTTTGGTTGTTTGGTTGATTACCTTCCCGAAAGTATTTTTCCATGAAATTTGATAGAGGAATACTCTTTATATAGGAGTATTATATTGCTGAACTTGTGCCAATCCGAGTCCTTTTCGCTGCTCAAATAAATTTCCAAATTTCATGACTCGAGTTTGGACAACCCTTGTTTCACAAGGGAATTTTGGTAACTTTGGGTTGCCATATCATAGTGCTCAAAACTCTGTTTCTCGTTCCACTTGTTTTGTTGTAAACTTGGATTGCGACTCTAATAGATTTCCAACTTTCAAAGGCTAGTTTCAATCAAGTGAATTTTGCCGAATTTTCAAAGTTGGCCAAAAACCAACTTAAATCTGCCTTATGAACCAAAACAGCGACTTTGAGCTTATTTTTGAATATTTTCCATTTGGAATCTTAAGAAAGTGCATTCTAGGAACTTTTAGTACTTTAGAAGAGGTTTCCCGTCGTACCAAGTTTTCCAATTTTCAACATGTGCAATGTGAGATACGATTTTTTTTTAAAATATCGTATCAAAACTGAAATTTTCTGAATTTCAAGGAAATGGAGTTTTTCGAGTACTGCTTATTCCTTCGATAGTACTTGAACGTTTATGCTTGATTTCCAAGACAAAAAGACTCGATTGCTCTTGTACTTTAAGAAACTCCACTTGAACCTCGATTTACGAGTAATTTAGATTCATTATCATGAAATTTTCCTAGATTGTACTAGTGCACAATCTTCCTTGATAATTGGGATGTGTGAATGATAATTCACTATTATTTGTTCAAGCTCACACGAGGACCTTCAAGAGGATCCCATGGTGGAAGCTTGAACCTCCAAGTGACACTTTGCTATTGACTCACAGTGAGTGTCAAGTGTGTGTATTATGTGACATATTTGCAAAGTGATAAGTGTTATATAAATTGAGATTTTGAAACTTTTGGTCGAGTGTGTACTTTATCGCACTCGTCCTTATTTAAACGAAGTGAACTTGAGTTTGTGAAGTGAAGTGCTTACTTGTTTAAGTAACTTGTTAAGTGAATATATGTGAAATGTTTAAGTGATTATTTATGCTGTTATTGCATAAGTCGTTGGAGTGAATCTCCTCGACACAAAAGTGTAAAAGTGGGGATGCCCAAACTCTCTTATTGGCTAGCCTTGGACTCGAGTTAGCATGGGCTTGGTCGAGCTCCTCAGTGAACCGTGAGATTTCATAAGCTCGACCTATTGAGAGGTCTTGCTTTATACTCGCTGAAGTATCGCCTCATAAATATATTGCGAGCCCGGTATGGTATGTAAGGTTGAGAAGGGGAAGTGTAAGTGATGTTTCTACGGATTTAACCTACCCGGTTGACGGAGTGTCAACGCGTGGAGGTTCGTGATCATGCAAGTGAAAAATAGCTCCTGAGAGCTCCCATATCCTTGAATTGTTTCTGCTTACTTTTCAGTAAAGTGCTCTTTATCGAATGGTTATTGTTTTAAAGTGAGTAATTTGGAAGTGTTACTTGAATTACGTGCCTGCATGTGTGTTTTTGGCCTCACGAGCGTTTTGCTCACCCTGTAGATTTGTTTTCCTTAACAGGTTTTGGACTTGGAATGAGATTCGGAGGAATTTCTCTTTGTGTACTCTTGAAATGGGGTTCCAACTCTTTTGTCTAGACTTTTGGATATTATATATTTTGGGCTGTATTATGGGAAATTCGATGTAAGGATTGGATGATTGTTATATTTCGTTAAATTTGAACGCTTCCGCACTAATTGTATTTATCTTTTCCGGTTGTTGATTCCTAGCACCGCTATAAGTTTAAACGGAAATTGCTTGAGTCCTGGTGAGAATTAGGCAGGCGTCCCGCGGATATCCTTTGGTTCGCCTTAAGGAGAAGTGGGAGCGTTACAGTTGGTATCAGAGCCTAGGTTTCAAACCTCTGTAGTGTATCCTAAGCTTGATGTTTAGGATGCCAGACTGTGGAATTGGGTGGAAAGTTAAGCGACTGCTTGTGGGAACGAAAACTAGAATGTAGGTTTGAATTAGTGGATGGCAAGGAGTCTTGATCTTGTGTGATACATGTGGGATAGTACGAAATGATCAGATCTAGTTTATTGAATATATCTAGACCTCCATGAGCTTTTACTTTTAAGGGTAAGCTATGGGAGGTAAGGGTGATATTAAATTGTCTCAGGGACGCATTATAGTGGTACATTATCGAGAAATACCTAAGGGAGCATTGGAGGGATAATTTAATTTGCAGAACTAGAACTTCATGTGATTTTCAAAGGATTTGCTCGTATCCAAATAAAGGGGTGCTAATAGTGGTTGATCATTAAAAGTGGCTATTCGAGGAAACTATGGTGATTCGATGGGGGTAATCGAGAACTGAGGGCAATTGCGGATGCCTAGACTACTAGAATTCTTGAAGTGAAGATTGAGATACTTAAGGAGCGAGAAAGAGACAAAGGCTCCTAGTGAGCAGTTTCAAAAAGCTGAGAACCGACTTGTAAGGGTAGTACATGAAATTAGAGACCGGACAGATAAGTTGATGGCTGGGTGTGTTACCTTGGTTGAACAAGTAGAGAATGACAAGATATTCGATATGGGACATGGGATTAAAACTCCTAGTGCTGGAAATGAAAATGATCCTATGGAATAGTAGAGACTTTTGGCTCCACCAATCACTAAACCCGTGACTTAGTCTACCTTAATGGTTTTGGCAAAGTGGTCGGGGTGATACTTGCTCAAAGGCTATTGCACTTCATATTTTGCTTGATTATGTTTACTATCCTGTGAAACAATTGAATGCTACTCATGACATGCTTGACCTTATTGTTTTATGATTTCAAATCTATGATTAGGTTGTACACATCGCGACTATTTCGGTGTCTTCCCTCTTATCCTTGTATTTGTTTGGCATGGTCAAAGTGCCACTTTTCAAACCTCGTTTATGCACTCTCATTTTATATCATGTCTTTATAACTGATAAATTTATGAGTGGCCGAACAAGTGAAAAGGACTGAGGGCGAGGGATTAAGCAACCCCAAACTCAAGGGGATGATTAGGGAACGACTGTTGGACTGAACCGAAACCCTAGAAATGAAGGAAAACAATCACGTAGTTACTGCTATTGACCATACGATTGATGTCCTAGCATGGTTGGTTGAGCACCCAAGCTCTAGATCAATAAGTCAACCTAAGAATTAAGTGAGGTGTGAAAATGGAATGATTCTCGAAGTTCGCTCCATCAGAGTTTCAAGGAGAATCTAATCTCGAAATAGTAGGACCGATTTAAGGGAATCAAATAAGACACTAGTGAAAGCAAGATATTAAAGTTTCTTCTCGAATAACTTTACAAGTGAGTATTGGAGAGGGAACTAAGACATGAAAATTTTATATTAAGGAATAGGCTCTCTGCATCTGGTTGTGTTTGTAAGTAATGATAGTAATCTCTTGGAGACTTAAGAACTCGCCGTATTAAGCAGAGAATAGTTAAGATTT